TTGAAGCTCTATTGTATTTAGTATTCGATATTCTAATCATACTTTATTCTTAGTATTATTGTTGTTATTATTTTATAAAATATGAACAATTGCAACAAATCAGGGGTCATCCCTCTAGGTGGTAAAATTATCCTCAGTTTCAATTGATTTTATCAGATTCTTCTTTATATTCAGTGAAGGCAAAGAAAGGTAGAAGATTAAATTTTCACTTACAGCATCTCTCTATGTTGTGGCCAATATACAGTCTGAACAGAAAGGAAATTCAGTTGGAACATTTAATAACATTGTCATGTAGCAAGCAATAATCATTTTAACTGGATCAATGTGTAACAAACATGTATAACACTGTCTCCTGTATGTTTGGCCCTGATTATTTTGGATAGTAGGCTGTATTTCCTTGAGTCGAAAGCAGGATATGGGGACATCAAAAACCAAATAAGGTTCAATTTACATTCTGAATTCATGGGTACAAGAATTGAATTAATTTACATAGAATTTTGCATGTTCAAAATTCATAAAAATTTTAACATAAATAGAAGGGATTCTCTCTTTTTTATAAATTCTGTTGTACGATGACTATTTTTATGATGATGATTTCTTACAAAGAAATTTTTTGTCATTAAAAATCTTTTATAGACATCTCACAATCCAGGACATAATTTTGCTTTACTGTTAACACAGTCCTCATAGTCTCAATACGTATCTGGATTTTTCCTTTGACATTGTCCCCAAAAAATTTTGGAATTTATGAAAAACATTGCATTCAACTATTATATTCAGGAAAATGTTCTGTGTTTGATGCTTTAATTGCTTTAGAATTATAGATTTTACAAGGATCCAGTGAGGAAATATGCAAGACTCATCACTTTCTGCGCACTTAATAAATTCCTCATTTAGGCCGACCTGAACGTCATTCCATTCAGATGCCTTCGACAGTACAGTCCAATTGAACTCTTCAGAGATCCCTAAACAGCCCTTCCATTTCTTTACACAATCAAAGCTAGTTTTGTGGGAACTATTTACTACTGAAAAAATTAACCTCATTTATTTCTCCTGACTACCAATGAAATGCTTCCTTTTCAGTGGTTTCAAATCATTTACTTTTTTTCAGCTGCAAATTACTTGTAAAATTGTGAATGTTCATGGCTACTTCTGTAGCTGAAATATTGTCTCCTTCAATTATGCATGTGCAGCTGAAATGTTGAGACCTGATCTCTTCCAAACTGCAAACACAATTTCAAACAGGGGTCTTGAAACACATTTCTTAACATCACTGGACATTTCTCATCAGAAAGAAAATAGGAATGCATACTTAAAAACCCTGGGAACAAACATTTATTTCCATGCTCTAATAGGTTTTTGTGGTTTCATCTACTAATCCATCATCAATCAATCAATAGTAATACATCAGTTTCTCTACTAATGAAGAATATTTACAGCTGTTTAAATAAAACAAATTCCATAAACTGGACAAATGAGACCGATTACAATAAAATGGGGCAAATTTGTAAAAAGGCAGAATGGTTAGGACGTATCTAAAAAACATGTCTGTCGCATTCAAAGCAAGATAAATGACCATATGGATTCCCCCGTCAATTTTTCTACAGTTTTAGTATTTCAATCTTTAGGTATGCTTGCACTGCATTGGTTTAGGACATAAAATAATGTATTTTTGTTTTGATAGTGTGCGATTTATTTTGCATTTGATTGCTTTCTAATGTTCGTTTTTAAATCAAGAATATTTGTAGTGTAAATATCAAGCTTATATGCCTTCCACTGCTGGAGTCTGGGTTCAATCCCTGAACAATTCATGTAAAATTTACGGTGGATAAAGCAAGCTCTCAGCCCGATGTTTGAGTTTCCCTTGCATTTCATTCCTTCATTGTTGCTTCCATATCTCTTTCATTCTGTCCCGAAGTTTCTCTTTCCTCTCCTCAGTTCAAATGATTCATGTCTTCTTTTTTGCATCAGTGTTATTTCATATTTACTTTATTTTTCAACAATATTTTTCTACATTTTCAACCTTTCATCCTTCAGGCATGCTTGCCTTGAATTGATTTAGGTCATAAAATAGTGTTGTTTTTTTTCTTTTCGTTTTGATAGTAATTGGTTCATATTACAAATATATGCCAAAATAATAACTAATTACTAAACTATCTAATAACTAACTAAAGTGTTCAAGCAATTGCAGAACAAACATTTCTAAAACTGAATTCTTTCTTGTACAGATGGAATATTCACTCTCAAACAAATTATTGAGAAATGTGAAATGAATTTAGAAACCCTCCTCCTGTTTTTTGATCTTGAAAAAGCATTTGAAAGGTATAAGACATACAATCTGGATGAGAAATACAGAAATCTGGATAGAAAACAAAGGAAAACCCTGAAAAGTGAAGGAAGTGACTAAAAGCATGTACTAAAAGCGAGACTATTATGCGAGTGATTCTTCCAAATACAGTGATAATGGGAGAACAAATTGAACAAAGAAGGAATTTACCTAGAAAAAGGCACTAAAGTAACTGCTCTTTTACTTTCAATATCATTTTGATTGCTAATTTTGAAGATGACCTCCAGAAGTTAACATTTAAATTACAAAAAAGAACAAATAAATGTAATTGTAAAATAGCAATTGACCTGACTAAAGGCTGAAGCTTTTAGAGGTAAATACCCTATACAAACAAAAATAGTAATAAACAAGATAATTACTGAACAAGTATCAAACTCCCAAAATTTAGGATGCAACGTAACATTTTATTAATAACATTGATGTTCAGTAAAAACTAATCAAACTTTCATCTAACTGACGCACTATTAAAAGAACTCTGAAGAAAAGTGGAAAAAGAAACTAAGCAAACACTTTATAAAATAATGACCATATCTACTCTCCTCAACGACAACAAAACATAGATAATACCTAGAGCAGCGGGTCTTCAACGTTTTACACTTTTAAGAACCTTTCAAGCTCATGATCTTCGTGAAGAAAACGCTTGTTTAAGAACCAATTAAAATAGTTTATCAAAGCTTTTTCTACAGAAATTCACAAAAGTATTCTTGTATCTTTATTTAATCATAATACAAACATCTTAATAGGAGAATGAATACTCGGGTAGTGAATCAGTTTTAATTTTTTTGTTTCTAGAATACATTTTATGAATAATTTACAAAATGAACAATATTTTAAATGATAACAAATTCATAAAAATAAAATTTTACATTCAATTCAAAATAATGTTGTCATTTTTATTTTAATATTATATAAATCTAATAATTTAATAAGACAGTCCACTACCCCATTCCTAGATAAAAAATTCCTTGTATCATCTCCATTATATCTGTGTTTTGGCTGACCAAAAGTGATCACTTGCAGACCCCTGTCAATGTTCCAGGGAACCCTAGGGTTTCACAGAACTCAAGACCCCTGATCTAGAGAAAACAAGAGAATTATTGCCGATGAAATGCGATTCCTGAGGATCATTAAGGATTGTTCATTCTGGTCCCTTTGAGAAATGAAGATATAAGAAAAGAATTAGGTATAGACAGCATACAAACTAAACTAGTCTACAGCAAAATCTGGTTGGATTTCTGGAAAAGAATGAACAACGAGGTTGCCCAAGACGGCAAACTGAGAGGTTGCCCAAGCATGTCTATTTTTATATGCCATATAGGAAGAAAAAAAAAAAAAAAAAAAAAAAAAAAAAGGAAGAAGAAGAAGAATAAAGACCAAGGAAGAAATGGCCTTTTCTAGATGACTTTGTTGGAACAAGCAAGAATAGCGTAATTCTTGCTACTACTGTTGATATTTATTAGATCATCACTTATGTATCTCAGATACCTCAGCAGTTTAAGGTCCCCAAAACTCCTTTAAGTAAATAAATACCATTTTACCAAGGAATTGTGTACCATGAAATTCTGTAAAATTGTGCTGCTAAAATTGTTTCATGAGCTTTGACCAAAATAACAGTTGTAGCTTCTTTGTTTATCTAGAATTCAGAGGATATTATAGTAAAATAGTAACTAATTAATAACTAATTTGAATTTATTTGAAGATAATACTTAAATAACACAAAATATTTTCACTGTTTCTTAGAACCCTGGGACAGGCATGAAAACCATTTCAAAACTCCCTCTCAAAACACTATTTGTTAATTGTTTCAGATTTTTTGGTTTCTGGGCTGTAATTAAAAAAATAAAAAACAGTTTTACCCTTTTCCCGACTTTAAATGATTTATGACTTGAAACACACTTCAAAAATGAGTGAACATTTTTTAGTGTTTATGATGCATTATACAGCATTGTTATAAAGCAAAACTTGCTCAATGTGATAAGCATATAATGTGAAAATATATCTAATGTAAAATAAATAGTGGTCCTGCATATCATAAATTCTACAGAATTACAGTGCATGAAGCGGCACCTTGCCTAATTAGGGGAAAATTCTTGAGATTCCGCCTTGAGCACATTTTACTGTTGTACCCAGTATTTTTGATTTTAGAATTTAGTTACAAACTATCATATTTATAAATTAGGGACTCAAACCCTAAGACTCTCTGGTCAAGGGCACTGCAGTGACATCTATTGATGCCCTGAACCACTTCAGTCAGAATAGTTATGCATTTACTAAGACATTTTATTTGAGTTATAAATAAATAAATAATAATGTTATATTTTATATAATGCTCTGGAACTTTTAAATTACACAGACACTAATTTATAATATTTTGCCACAAAATCTTAAATGTATTATATTCTCACACACAGTGTGAGACTCTTCAACTTTAAACCAGTTCCTTCATCTTTTTCTTAATTCTCTTCCATTAAATTTTCATTTTTACCAGTCTAGTTTTTAATATAATTTTGAAATTAAGAAATAATATAACTATTCAATTTGGCACTAAAAACTGAACAGATCTTTTTTTTACGCAACTTGCTGTTAGATGATTGATATGCTTAAGTAATTATTCACTATATTTTGAAGAAGAGAATGAAATTACAAATGGACATATTCATAAAAATATATATTTATTAAGGAAATAAAAAAAAACAAGATCAGCAATAAATTAAAGCATAAACTTTACAATAGTATTACAAAAATTGTATATGTACAAAATTAAATTTGGTTAATATTTTTCAATGTTATTGAGTCACTAATTGTGGTCATGAAAACGTGAATATATATTTTATGTAATAGAATTAACATTACTACATTATTCTTTTGGTTTTTAAATTCTAGATGCTAATCTTAAATCTTTAACTGTCACAATACAGTTAATTTTCATTGGTGAAGTATTATACTGAAAAGAATAAAAGTGACATTTGTGTGAAGATTATTTGTGCAAATTGTTTTTGTCTTTGCTGGCATTTTTTGAAATTATGTAATTCACATAATACTGTATCATATTTTAATATAAGATAAATGTTTTAAGCACATTGTTAAACAGTAAAAAGAAATAATGAAAAGAAACATTTACATTTTAAAATGTTTTCTTTAATTGAAATCCTGTGGAGTAACTTAAATAACGTTACATTAATACAGACTACAATAAAAATAACAACTAATATATAATATCACTTTAATCAGGTGAAATTTTCTTTTATTTTTCTTGTTTTTTTTCATAACAAATTTTTTTCTTGATATCACAGAACAGGAGAGTGTGTTTTGTAATATTTACAGACAATTTATTTGTCTGCAAAGTGGATTGTAATGCCACTAAGACATTCTCTCTGATGCTTCAACTTTGTCTTTACTAAGAATCCTGTTGTTGAAAGTAGTGCCTTGTTTTGATTCCAACTCTCCTAATATCATTTGAAGCGATTTATTTTTTGTCTCAGGAACACACAAAACTATGTATATACCACCTGCTATACAAATTACAGCAAATACGAGGCAAGATCCATGGATACCAATATGTTCAGACACTAATGGAAAATATTTAGTCACAAAAAAAGTTAACATCCACGTACTTGGTGCTGTAATTGTCATAGCTAAACTGGTAAATCTTGGTGAGAAAAGTTCTGTAGCTATTAACACAGGTAAAGAGGCAATACCCACATTTAGGGCTATTACATATATGGATAAACATGTTACAGGTACCCAGTTGAATTCTTCAATATCATATCCTCTAGATTTACTGAAAAAATATATGGCAATAATGATTAAGACAGATCCCATGAGGAAATCGGATACTACTAGTAAAATTTTCCTTCCTGTCAAGTCACAGAGAATTATTGACAAAACTGTACCGCAAAATAGCATAAAACCAACGATAATTGAACATGTGTTTGGAGATAGATAACTACCGGATTCTTTGAATATCATAACAGTGTAACTCACTATACCATAAAAACCACATAATTGTTGATTTGAGAAGAGAATAAATGTCATAAATAAGGCTTTGGTTGCAATTTTGTTGGAGAGCAATTCGAGCAAAGTTGCTGGGGCATTTCCTCCTGATTGCATTTCATTTAATGCATTTTTTAAAACTTCAATTTCTTCTGGTACATTTACATTTTTTCCTCTGAAATGTTTCATGGCAATAACTGCCTTTTCATATTCACCTTGTCTAGCTAAATAAACAGGTGATTCTGGCAACCAGAACAAAGCAAATAAAAAGATGACCGGTGGCCCTAAACACAACCACGAAACAGTGTGAAAAGAAAAGTAGGATCCGATTATATACGAAAAAAGTATGCCAATGTTTCTCATAAGCATGATAACCACACCTAGAGAACCTCGTATGTCTTTCTCCGCTAATTCAGTTACATAAATAGGGCAGTATATAAAAGTTCCTGCAAAGGAGGCACCAATTAGACCTCTTGACACGTACAACATTTCCACGGTCTCACCGAAGATTAAAAGAAGAATACTGATTATTCCTGGCAGTACTGTTGCGAAAGCGCATGCTTTACGTCCATAGTGTTCACAGATGTAATGGTACATGGGGGTTGCAATGGTGCCCATGATGCACAGAATAGATGCGAGCCACGACGCGTCGGTTTTTGTGATGGGCCCGGAATGCAGAGGCGACGCTTCCGACATCAGCAAGGGAAGAGCTGTGGACGACCAGCCCATCCCCAGACCGAACGCCAGCGCCATGATGTCAACTGAAACAGAGTTCTTACTGAAACGTATTCGTGAAGGGCATGGGTGGAATTATGCATTAGCAAACTAAATTTCATGTTGCTGTTTTTTTTTTTAAATTTAAAGAGCACTTGCTTGGAAATCTCCAGAGTTAAAAATTCGGTATCGTTAGCCGAATTGTTTAACTACGCTCCGTGAAGTAAGGGAAGTTAAGAAACTCTTGACACCACTGATTCCTGGGCGGGTGACTGTCTGGGAACACCAGTTATTCTCCGATTTAAACATAGTCACTTGAAAATGACGAGCTAGGAGAAAAGGGGAAATTGTCATTAAATCGGTAGCCCCAGTTCCAAACAATGTACTTTGTAACGGTGCTCCTGATTGGATGACAGTGTCCCGCCTCGCCGTTTTGTTGGTGACTTTGAAGTGAAGGGTATACTAACGGCAACGAGCCACTGTCTCAAGGAATAAAATGCATGAACTTGACTGCGACGATACGGGACAAAAGACAACTAGTGGTGCTACAGAATGATACAGACTTTCTCGTAGTAAAGTTTTCTAATTTACTTGGAGTGGACTGGCTTTACTGTCTTGCCACATTCTCTAGCGAGCTATCATATATCTCCCCCTAAAAACAAATTTAAAAAAATATTTTCTCAATTTTTCAGTTTTCTAATATTAGAACTGAAATGTTCAAGAATATTAAAGAAGAGAAAAAAATAGTCATAAATGGCAATTTTCATTAAAAAAGTTGAAGCAGTTTTTAAGAAAATTGCGCTTAAGCTTTGCTGTAAATACGAAGCTCTTTTTCACAGACTTTTTTTAGTTTTCGAAAAACTTCATTTGAAAACATTTGAGGCACTTTAATCCACAAATGCAATAGTTTACACATTGCTGGAAATGTGCATATTAAAGGCGTGAGAAATTTAAAAAGAATACATTGCGGTTATTTTTGAAAAAGCCAAAGAATACCTCAAAATGAACTTTGTCGTTTTAAACAATGCTATTAGCACTCGTTGGAAAAGTTGTAGTTGTAGGAAGTCGCCGCAAAACATGCAAACTTTCTAAAAATGCACTGCACTGATAAAACATGCACTGAATTTAATGACTCGCTGACATTAACGCTATTTTTATTAATTGATTTGAATATTTCTTTCCCGCGCTTAAAAAGGAACTTATTAAGAATAGAAAGTTATTTTAAAAATTACACAACACAAATGTAATTCTTACTTTTAGAAATGAAACGCACGTGAATAAATTTAAATGTTACAGTATTTACAGAGCATATTACAGAAAAGCAAAAATAATTTCACACAAGCCTACCTTTATATTTAAAGTGACTTTTCAAATTTTTATTACCATAATCGGCGATTAAAACTTCTTAAACTATATATGTTTGTTGTTAATTCTACGATATAATTTATTACCTTCCTTCAAATCATTTACTTCCATAAAAATATGATCTACATCATATAATCATGACCACCAATCATGGGATGAATTTAAAAAAAAATTAAAAACTGTTTTGCTGTTTTCTGAACTGACAACGTCAGAAAAGAAGCGCACAAAATTCGAATTACAATTCCGAAATTGCAATTTATGAAAATGCAGAGTGTGCCGAAAAGGGGACCATCACTAATATGTTTACAGTTCTTTGCTGCATACGGGGATAAAAATTAATGAAAAAAATGAAGCAATTTCTAAGAAAATTGTTTAAATGTTTGTAAAAGCGCCTATATTTCTTTTAAAATTACGCAAAAAATACTCATATATTCGAAATATTGAACATGACCTCTTTTGAAGAATTGTTTTTGATGAACATATTTCATTAAGGGGAAAATATTTTCAACATTGTAGTTTTAATAAACCACCGAAACAATTTTGAAATTTTCGAAAACTCAGGATTTTTAACGAACATGAAACCTGTACCGTTCTCTCAAACATATTTCACGCTATCCAACAATTTTTTTTATCAAAACGAGGGAGCCATTTTTTTTTAAATTTCGAAAGTGTCCCAGAAACTTCACGTTAAGTACCCCCAAAATTAAAATATCAATTTTAAATTCAATGGACCCTGACATCAACCAGATCTATTGAGGAAAATCTGTTTGGGAGAAAATCGGTTGAACGCTTTAAACGCTAGCGTTGTTCACAGACAGACTGGCTTTTTGTCGCCAATCACTTTTTGGTATCAAGAACTTACAAAACATGAATTCTGGCTACATCACGTGTTAGAGGATTTTCCCCTAAATTTAGCAACTGAATTTATCCACTTTTTCATTACCATGGCCCGGGAATAATTTTTTCTGCCGAAAATTCGCCGTTTTTACCTGCAGCATTATAACTTTTTCTTCTTAAGAAGACCCTTCTTAAGGACGAGAAAGTAACAATAGCAAAGGAAAGGCAATTGCTAGTAGACTTCATAATATTCTATGGAACAAGAATAATAGGAAGCAAACCAAGAGTCAAATATGCAAGACGGAGAGTTGTGTTACGTATGGATCAGAAATTTGGGTTAAAAAGGATGCAATAAACTCTCGGTTAAATTCTAAGGAAATGGATTTTTTGAGAAGATATTGTCAGTATACCCTGTTTAACAGAATACCAAACGATGAAATTAAACAAATAATGCAGATAGAGAGACAAGTGATCGAAATTGTAGAATCCAAACAACTCCAATATTATGGCCATCTAATGGGAATGGATGCTGACAATACCAAAAATTGTCTTTCGAAAGAAGAAAACGAAGAAGGCCGTGGAAATCGTGGAAGTCGATTCGACAATAAATAACAGAAGAATAGGAAAATGCAAGGCGGAATAAAGACCAACAACATTGGCGTGCAGAATGCAAGAAACGGTCATTACAACTATAAAAATCCAGCTTAATAATAATGATATTTGTTACAAAAACGCTCATTTTAATATAGAGCGTATAACGCTCATGCGCACAGGTCGAACGACGTTGCCGAAGTTCCCACGCTCCCGGACAGAAGGCAAGGAACGGTCGGTCTACCCGTGGAAATCGAACGAAGTGGAGCCCGTGCGGTCTCTCGCCATTTTGCAAACGTAACATCAGAAAGTCAATCGGTCGAGGCAAGACGAACGAAGTGGAGCCCATGCGCTCATTTCGCCATTTTGCAAAACACAACTCTAGAGAATAGTCCTCGTAATCGGTCGTGTTGTCGTAATCAGCGATACTGTCGAACAAGTCAAATTCAACAAAATTGCACACTTTTACAAGTGTTATTTGTTGTGAAGACGACGACCATTATCCAACCAACGGTGATTCTAGTCAACGGTTGTGGCACCAAAGGAACAAGCTGCAGATTCTATCTGGAAGGCGGCACAACGGTTCCGTACCTAAATTTAAGCTCATCAAACCATTAGTACCAAATTTAGCAAAGCTAGCTTTTGCAATCAATGTTATTTATGTATAAAATAGTTTTATTAGATTATGTAATAAAAATTTGTTCACAAACCTTTTAAAACACATATTCATATATTAATTGAAATTATTCTTTTTTATTCCTGTTCATAATCATTCATTCAAATTAGGTGAATCTGAAGTGCAAAAAAGAGCTACCAGAGAATCAAAAATACCATCGGGCTTCAGATTCATCAATATTAATAAATAAAAATAAAGAGAAGTTTGCAAGAATCACGTGGTTGGTATTTGCTTATTATTCGTACAATTATTTTTCACCATCTAGTCAGGGGGTTACTAGTCTAGTGGGGGAACTAGTCTGGAGGTTATATGATGTATTTCCCCAGAATATTATGCCATAACTCAGAAATGCCACAACATTCGTGAAATATGCACGAGCAGTAGGAAGGCTGAATTTGAAAGAATTCTGAACCCGATGGATAATGAATTGAACACCCCGCTCGGAAGAGCCACAGCCGCCGCCGTTGCATCGACGTGGGTGGTTGGGGAAAAAACAGCGTGGCCTTGATGATTGTCCCGAACCCAGGAGTGTTGAAGCATGAGAACTAGTAAGATACAAGAGCGAATCAGTTATTGTTGAAGGCGGTTCTTGAGTTCAAATCATCTCGCCTTTAGTAGTGAGGGATGGCTTTGCCACGTCTCCCGTGGTAAGCGACGCCGTGATGGTTTTTTTTTCCTTCTAAGTGGTCGAGCTATAGATTGGTTTGCATTGCTCTAGATCTCGGAGAGTAGAAATATCTACTTATTGAGCCTCTAAGAAAGGGAAATTTCCCCTCCACCACTTTGCGTGCATTCGTAGTTCAGGTTTTTTAAGTGGTCGAGCTGTTGAGCAGTGTCACGATCCCATACGAAGGTAATTTTGTAGGATAAATGTTATGATCAATGACGTCAAAAGATATTGAAAGGACTAAAAATATTCCTATAGGCGCTTCTTTCTTATTTATGGACGAAGCGACATCTTTAAGAAAAGAAAATATGGCTGTTTCCGCAGATTTTGGTTTTCTAAATCCGTGTTAGCAAATCTGAAAACGCCTCGGGTTTACTGAGAATGATTTCCATTCGTAAGTAAAATACACTTTTTTAAAACTTGGCAAAAGAGAAATTGGCCGATAATTTTGATTTTCATTTTTGTTGCCTTTTTTGAAGAGCGGCTTAATCTTAGCTGATGTGAAAATATCTGGAAAAGTGCCGGTGTATAAGGATGCATTAAATACGTTTAGGGTCATTGCGGCAGACGCACAAATCTTTCACAAACAATCCGAAAATTCATCTAAACCGACAGAATATTTATTTTTTTAGTTCACCGAATATTTTGAAAATTTCGTAAGAAGTAGTTTTGGAAACAAACATCGTGTCTAAACTTTTGTGTGAACATCTGATATTGAATTTAGCTGTCGAATATTCATTGTGAGATCGGCAGCAATTCTTGAAAAATATTGGTTGAGACTAGCCACTGTTGCTGGATCGTTCACTTCTCTATCTTTATCTTTTAAAACATTTTCTACAATGTATCTTGTTGGTGTGGTCGTATTCAAGGCTAAAATAAACAACTGGAAATGCTCTCACTGCTAAATGCAC